GGTGATTCTGTAGGCAGCTATTGTGAAAGGTTGTGTGACTCCTTTTGGAAATCTAGTTAAAAATATGTATAAAGCTTTAAAATGTATTATTTGATCCAGTAATTCCACTTCTGGGATTCTATCCCAAGGAAATACCTTTTTTTCTTTTTGGAGGGGAAGGCTGTGGAGCTTTGTATATAAAGTTGTTTTGTCACAGAACTATTCAGAACAGTCGAACCTGTGGAAAAACTTAAAGTTAACTAACATCAGAGGATTTAAGTAAATTATAATGTAGCACTATTATGGAATATTATGCAATTATTACAATAGGTTAAGTAGAAAAATCGTGATGCAAAATGTTATAAAATATATGATCTCTACTGAGAAAAGAAACTGAATAAATGAAAGGATACATTATAAATGACAATTTTATTCTTTTTACTCTTAAATAGTTTCTCTTTGGTCTTTTTATCGTTAGAAAACAAATGCTTTAAAAAATAAATCCTCACCAAGTGCATGCTATGCAATGCACTAGTTTTTGTGTATTGCTGTCAGGAATACTTGCTAGAATTGAGAGGCTAAGATATGATGGAAGGTTAACAATACTAGCAGGATCCTATTAATATTTACCTTGGGTCCAGCTATCTCCTGATTAAGAGGGACCCATATCTAAGAAAAAAATATGATAACAGCTAACCAAGGCCTGCACATACCTGGAGATGACCTAGATTGAGAGGCTGATGGATGACAACTTCTGGGCTTTCTATGACAAAGGGTTGTCTAGAAACTGGGTTCCTGATAATTGGCAGAACCTCTTGAGTAACATCAATTCTTACCACCCACACAAATCTCTCCAAAGTATTTGAAAGAGCTCTTCTGAAGTTGTTTCACTGCATAGATCTTTAAAGGTGAGAATCTGGACAAATTTTACCCCAGATAAACATGATTCAAAAAGTAGAGTTGATTACAAAGTGTTTTGTGAACAAAAGCATAATAGAAAGGTTAGCTTTTATGATGATTTGCTGCTATCATTGCTGCTGATAATTTGCGGACATCTCTGCTGTCTCCTCAAAAGGATGCCAGCATTGCTAACTTTCAGTTGTGGAGTTCATATTTGGAAAGAGCAGCAGCCAGTGCAGATGAAGTGCAGAATTCACCTATTTAAGATCTAGCCTTAGCCTTTTGTTCGGTGTCTGTGATAGTTTACCTGCATGGCCTATGCTCCCTAGCTACAGTCATGTCTCAAGTTTGGTATTTCCAAGCACGCTAGGGGTAGAATCAAATGATATCAATATGCCAGACATTTATTTTTCAACCAGTACAATTAAAAAAGAGAAAAAGTGTATATGCATTTTAGATCTGTATGCTGAGGTGTTTTTTGTTTTTTTTTTTTAACTTCAGTACATTTCCATTGCCTAAAACTTTTAAATGAAAAAGTTGTAAAAACATTTCAAAGACACTACCACTTAACAGACATGGTGTTGTTGATTTTCCAGTTGACAGGGAGAGATATTTTAGCTAATGACCAAACATATGAGTTGCAGAGTAAACTAACATTATTCCTCTCCCTCACTGCTTGTATTCATTCAATCGCCTACTCCTACCAATTTACCTTCTAAATCTTTCTCAAATCCACCCCATTTGCTCCTTTTCTGCTACCACTGCTATATGTTAGATTTTCAATAATATCATTCTCTTGGCTACAGTCTTCAAGGTTATATCCTTAACTCCACCCAGCATATCACATTAAAAATGATTCGACTGCCTTCACCCTCCAAATTGAAACCCTTCAATGTTCCTCAACCACTGTCACAATGAAGCCAAACACTTTTTACATCTCATAAAGGAACCTCCCCAATCTTTGTTTGCCCACATCTTTCCCTTCATCTCTTGCTATTGCCTGCTTTAAACTTGTTTCTACCACAAAAATAACCATTTGTCATTCTTTCAAAACTATGCTACCTCTTATTTCTGTGCTTTTGTATTCGCCTCCAAATCAGTATCTGTCTGCCCATTCTTTGTATGGCTAACTTATTAAATTTTGACAGATATCTCAAACATTTCTGCTTCATAGAACATGTTCCTTCCAGTGTTGTGTATTTCTTTATCATTGCATTTCCATGTGGTGCTTTTAATTTTTGTCTGTCTCTCCTATTGGACTGTGAGATCCTGGAAAACAAGGGCTATTTCTTATATGTCTTGGTATCTACAGCCCCTAGAAAAGAAACTCGAATGAAGCTGGCTCCCACTATATGAATATATAAATCTGTGTTAGGTCACCTTTTCAGAACTGAGTCTAAGACAGTGTTTTGGATGCACATGATTGATTAAGGGAATACTCTTCAGGGAAATCCTGTAAGGAAGAGAGGGAGGGAAGCAGGGCAGGGGAGGGGAAAAAGCTGAGTGAAGATGAGGTATCCGGTAAACTCTAGACTTGGCATCATACACAGAGGAGCTCTGGAGCCTAAATTGCACCATAAAGTTGTCCCCATTTGAGGCAAGCAGCTGGTCTTTTGTCTACCCACATCAGTCAGTTACTGGCAGTGGGCGACATCCAAGGGGATGTAAGTTTCCCAGATGGGTGACTCTTGTCAATAATCAAGAATAATTTTCAAGAGGAGATGACATGAGCAGTTACCAACCAACACTCAAATGAGCTGCTAGAGAATGGATACATCAGCTTAGTAAAGGATATCAGAGCGGGGCATATACTACACTATCACAGGTGTCTTAATTGTTTTATTATTGTTCCAATATACCTACCCAAGTAGAGACCGGTTGTGCATCCCTTTTCCAAAATGCTTGGGACCAGAAGTGTTTTGGATTTCAGGTATTTTCCAATTTTGTAATATTTGCATATACAGTATATAATGAGATATCTTGGAGATGGGACCCAAGTCTCAACACAAAATTCATTTATGTTTCATATATACCTTATGTACATAGCCTGAAGGTAATTTTATTATTCCCTTTGGGGCACTGAATAAACTATGTGTTGTGCATTTGTGTTTTGACTGTGACCCATTACATGAGGTCAGGTGTGGAATTTTCCATTTGCGGCTTCATGTTGGCACTCAAAAATTTCAAATTTTGGATTTTGGATTTTCTAGTTAGGGATGCTCAACCTGTATTTTAAAATAATACAATGTACCCTTTTATAAGTAAAGTATTTCATTTTTATATTAGGATACAATATGTATAAGTTCTGTGATTAGACTTTTATTTTTAAGAATTCAACCTTCAAGCTTGTTACCATGGAAATATTTTGAGCTCTTACATATGTAGTAATGGTGACTTAATTAAAAATACTTTCTCTAATCTCATTTGAATATATTGACATTATCCAGTGGATGTAGCTTTTGTTCATGAAATGGTACATCAGCATGAACTCCCTGTAAAGGAATGAGTTCTGAATCTTAATTCCATCACTGACTTCATATAAGCTCCCAGAACTTTATGGGTGGTAACAAAAATGAATGAACATGGTGTTTCCTACTCCCACCCCCCAACATAACTTCATGGCTTCATAAACTCCCAGTGGCTGTGAAAGAATATGCACCACAGAGAGGTGCTGAACTAGAGTGCTAGAATCTTCTCATCGGAGGAGGAGAATACCAATAGCAAATTTTCTAAGAGAGGCTTATAGAAGGGTATTTTATTCTGAAAGAGAGACAGATTAAACACTACCAGTCTACACAATTACCTGATGATAATTTTTAAAAATAAAAATAATAATACACATAATTCATAAATGTGTAATGAAATTAACATAATGAAATTAACGGTGCCTAGAAATCTGTTTTGAAATGATTGTTCTAAAGCCAAAAGAGCTTGTGTGCAGTAGTAAGAAAAAACTGAATGTACAACAGCAATTCTGTTTATCAACAGTTAGGTTTTAAATTATCACATATCCTTTTAAGATTTGAGATGTCCCACTACACATGTTTAAAAAAATGATTCATGGTTATGTAAAGAAAACTTTATTCATAAGGAAATACATACTGAAGTATTTAGGGATGAAATGTCATTATTTCTCTAATTTATTTTCAACTGGTTTAGGAAAAAAACTAATGCACACAAGGTGAGAGAAAGCAATGTGCAAAAATGAGGCAAAATCTTAACAATGGAAGAAATAAATGTCATTCATCATCTCTTTCACTTAATAAAATGCTTTATTGTAACTATTGAAAAAAGACAAGTCCATCATTTATTTAAACGCATTTATTCAAATAATATGAATATATCTTGAATTGTTCTTTATAGTATTTTCCATCTTTTTCCAAAAAGTATTAAATCATCTTAATTTGATAGCTTATTTTTGAACGTGCATCTAGTTTAGTGCAGTAAAACCTCCTAAGCCATAGGTCCTCTATTTCCATATTAAAATGAACACAAAGTGTCTCTGATGTCCAAGGTGTCATTTCTTCATTTCAGCTCTGGCTCTTCCTTGACATGTGACTCTGAACAATTTGAACCTTTTTTTTTTTTTCTAACTGATAGTTAAGTACTGAATTAACTCTAATTTTCAGGAATATTTATGGTTTTATTCTAACATTTTTCTCAGTAACCATATTCTGAAAGTGTGCACTAATATCTATATTTATTCCCAACACAATTCTCCCTCTGTTTTCTTGATTTAATTTGTTGCTAACTTTTTAGAACTTTCTAGACTAAATCTTTTTGCTTTTACCTTCAAGCATTTTGCTTCATCTTACAAATCTTCTGAGACTTTGAATAATTTGACCTTACTGTTTATACAGCTACCTCGAAGGGGTTTCAACCTTTTTCACTGGCAGCAATATCCTCTTTGGCAAATAGCCTCAGTTACAGTAACTTGATTCTAAAATTGTAATTCATATTGTGGTAAAACAAAATAATTTCATGCTTACCACCAGAATTATAACCGTTTAAACTAAAATCTCGCCTAGAATTCATTTTATGTAATGGGACAAATGTGCAAAATTGTTTAGATAAATATCACATAACCCTGGCATCTCTGTGTAGTTCTTTCATCCTATTTAATGTGGTACGCTGGCTCTGTGGCAGTCACTGACAGGAATGATGACGATAACTCGGACATTGATGCTGTTCATCAAACTTCCAGCACATCTACTCTAGGTAGTACCTCATTATACCCCTTTAATAAAAATTTAGTAATTGAAATTAACTAAATCAAAGAAAGCTGTGAAACTGACACCTTTATTAAGAATATGTGGTGATGGCCGGGCGCAGTGGCTCACACCTGTAATCCTAGCTCTCTGGGAGGCCAAGGTGGGCGGATTGTTTGAGCTCAGGAGTTCGAGACCAGCCTGAGCAAGAGTGAGACCCCGCCTCTACTAAAAAAAATTAGAAAGAAATTAATCGGCCAACTAAAAATATATACAAAAAAAAATTAGCCGGGCATGGTGGCGCATGCCTGTAGTCCCAGCTACTCGGGAGGCTGAGGCAGAAGGATTGCTTGAGCCCAGGAGTTTGAGGTTGCTGTGAGCTAGGCTGACGCCAGGGCACTCACTCTAGGGCGACAGAGTGAGACTCTGTCTCAAAAAAAAAAAAAAAAAAAAAAAGAATATGTGGTGGTAAGGAGAATTAATTCTACGTTCAGATATAGCTGGGTGAGAATCCCAGCACTCACGCTCACTAGCTGGCATGGAGTTTCTCCAACTGTACTGTTTGGTTATTCATTTGTTTATTTTTGTATGCATCCATCCATTCATTTAATAAATATGTGTTGAACTGGTTTGTAGGCACAGTTGTAAGGAATGAGGCTAAAGAAATGAGTGAGAAGGACAACATCCCTGACCTCAGGGGATTACATTCTGTTGGAGATACAGAAAGCAAAAAAGGAGATACATAATGTAACATCAGATAGCAATAATTCTTATGAATAAAATATTAAAGCAGTCTCTCGATCAAGTAACCAGGAATTAGGAAAGCAGTGTTTCATATGGGGAAATTGGAAAAGGCCTTTCTGAGGAGGTGATGTTTGGAGGGAAGAAGAGAGGACGCCATGCAGTTGGTTGATGGAAAAAGTTTCCAAGTCGAGGGAACAGGAAATTCAAACCCTTAGTGGATATTTCTGTGAAGGGTTGGTGAAAATTTGTAAACTCATCGGCACATAGTTAGGTGCTTTTTAGATGTTAGATATAATTTTAAAATAATAAATGTAAATAATTGATTCCATATGTTATTATGTTTCTTCTTTGTTCTAGTGTATGTCTTCTTTTTCATCTTTCTAGATCATTTTTCTTCTCTTGAATTCTATACTATTCATTCGGCTCTCGGAGCCTTTAGGCTTTGCTCTTTTTAATTTGTAGTGAGGTTAACCCTGCTTGCAATATTCAGATTTTACTGGTGTCAGAGGTTCTGTTTGCTTGGTCTTTGCCCTTTTGCTCAACATTTGTATATTCTGAGCAATGTCAAATTGATTTTCCTGATAACTGTTGGACAACTTCCTTTTTTAAGCAATAAATCCACAGCTTCTCTGTGATGATGATAATGTTGATGTACTTGCCCTGTGACGACCTGTTGTTGTATATGTGTGTCCAAGGAAAGGAGTGATAAAAAAAAAAAATGGTGACAAGATGCCATTTGGAAGATAGTGCTTCCAGGAAACACAGAAAGCTCAACCATACCCCACCCCTATCCTCCCCATTTCCTACAATGGTTTCTTTTTTTCACTTCCCCTGATGTTCCCAGAAGTCAGAGCAAAGTGACCATCTATCTCTGTCTCTAGCTGTGAATAAACTACTACCAGAGCTCAACTCACTTTTGTTTTCTTTCTTTCTATCTTGTTTGGCTGTAAAACATTTATTTGTAATTTTATCAGTTCGGGTCCAATCATAGAGAAAAACCACAGTCATTTGAACAGGGAAAATTTGTACAAAGAATTATTAAGTGTAACAGGGGCATGTAGTAATGAAAGGATTGGCTATTATGAAAGAAAATATATTGATCTGCTTGGGCTTGCCATAACAAAATACTATAGATTGGATGTATTAAACAGCAGACATTTATTCTGGGGGCTGGGAAGTCCAAGATCAAGGTACCAGCCAATTCGGTTTCTGGTGATGGCTCTCTTCTTGGCTTTAAGATGGCTACCTTCTTGCTGTATTGCTCACTTGATCTCTTCTTTGTGAGCACAAGGAGAGAGAGAGAGAGAGAGAGAGAGGGAGAGAGAAAGAGAGAACGAACGCGCACAAGAGCGCTTTCTGTTGTCTCTTCTCAGGAGGGCAACTTACTTGCTGATGTTTTCTTAAAGAAAATAAAAGGACATTAATCCCATCAGGAGGGGCCCCACCCTTATGACCTCATTTAACCCAAATAACTTCTCAAAGGTCTTCTCTCCAAATACCATGACATTGGGGGTTAGGAATTCAACAGATGAATTGGGAGATGGGAGTCACAAACATTCAGTCCCTAGGAAAAGAGAAACCTAAAGAATAGAAAAGTGGCTGCCTTTACCCCTAGGGCTGAGATACAGCACCCAAGAAAAAGTCCCTAACTTTTCATTTCCAGAGGCAGAGATTCAAACCTTATTGGGAAGGTAGAACCATGGTTTACTGAATGGCAGAAGTCACTGAGTTGCCACACTAGCAGAACTTGTTAAAAATCTGTCCTCTGGAAGTTAACAGAGATCCTCTCTCTAAGGTCCCTGGGAAAGCTGTTCATGGGAACAAAATGTCTTACCTGAGGCTCTGCTGAAAACATCACCAAGTTGCTGGCTGCCGTGCACTGCAGGAGCCAGGTGCTGAGGAAGCTTCACACACTGCAAGAACCTGCCAAGCGAGCACACTGGAACTAGGAGGCAAAACTCTTTCCTCCTGCCATGTCTCACCAGTACCCTCTACTGGCAAAACTTCAGTACCAGCTAGCAAAGAAAAAAAAACATTTCAAAGGCCCAGATCTATTTTTACAGAGCAGGCAGAAAGGTATATTTAGACCTGAGAGGCAATAAATCAATAACCAGCACATGGATATAAACTAATAAATACCAGCAGAATCAGACTAAATGAAGAGTACATTGTTTGTTAGCAAGGTAAACTACTTTTAAAGGCCATTCTCAGTTTGATTCATTGCTATATCCTCTGTGCCTAGAATAAAATCTGACCCAATATAAATACTCAGTAAATATGTGTTGAATGAATGAACTAATTGCTGAATTTTTCTCTAATGTTTTTCCTCTCTCTCTCTTTTCTTTTACTATAGCCGATGGATGCACCGATTGGTCTGTTGATATCAAGAAATATCAAGTTTTGGTGGGAGAGCCTGTTCGAATCAAATGTGCACTCTTTTATGGTTATATCAGAGCAAATTACTCCCTTGCCCAAAGTGCTGGACTCAGTTTGATGTGGTACAAAAGTTCTGGTCCTGGAGACTTTGAAGAACCGATAGCCTTTGATGGAAGCAGAATGAGCAAAGAAGAAGACTCCATTTGGTTCCGGCCAACATTGCTACAGGACAGTGGCCTCTATGCCTGTGTCATCAGGTATTCTTTTAATTCTATTACTGCTGAATCAAAGAAATCACATGCTGCTTTCTCATACTTAAATTTGGTTGCTAACTCTTTTGCCTAAAGGTATGGTCTCAATATTTGCATGGGTTGCTGCTTTTTAAAATTTAGAATCTAAATCATAAAAAGATGGGATTAGAATTTATATTGAGACATTATTTCTAACTTATGGAGAAAAGAGATACCATCTGGGTATCTACTTATGTTACCAGAAATTACTAAAGACTATGAAATAAAATTTATAGAGGAGGTAAAATGTTACAAATAAAATGTAAGCAAAGACTTGCATAAAGGATGCATAGTTTATTGCTAAATGGGTTGTAACATTTTGTTATTGCCCTTCACAGACAGATAGAGCATGGATACCTCTGGTTCACACACATCTGCAAAGATGATTTAGGTAATATGTGTATGTGCACAGGAAGAGGAAGGCAGCATTGCCATGTTAGGGAATACAAAGGTTGTGGTCAAGATCAGGTTGTTAACTAAAACTGCTGCATCAATACAAAAATTCTCCCTAATCTTTCAGGGCCAATACCAAAGTTAATAACAAATTCTTTGCCTTTGTCCCCAAGGAAATTCATCATATATCTACATATCTTTGTCAGCTTGTGGAAGAGACATATTTAGTTTGTTTAATGATAATGCATTGAAACAGTATCTGTGTAATACATTAGCAGTTAAAAATCTCAGTTTAAGCATTTAGCCCTTCATGGATTGTGAATCACACCCTTCATGAATGATCGTGGATGTCATTAGACTATTAGAACATTAGCAAAGCTGGGTTATAGGCAGATAGAGGGTATGTTTAAATCTATTTTTTGGCTTTCTGTATTTCAGCTTATTTAGAGAAATAAGGAAAATCTAAAGCAGTTGATTCTCAACTTGGAGAAAGTCTTAGAATCACCTAGTGTCTTTTTCAGATAAAAATTAGACTAATATTTCTGAAATTCTGATCAGCACCTATCACTCCCCTGTCATAAGGATCATGCCTCCCTCTCATTGTGACCTATAAGAATTACCTTTATGCTGAGTCATGGCTACAGGTGTGTTAGGACATTAAGATAGGTCAAAGTCACATAAAAGTTAAACAGAAATGTATCCTTTTAACACTGACACGATATATTACGTTACAGTTAATGTTAGAAAATATAAATGAACATAAACAAAGGGTTGTGCTTGGGAAAGATGCCTAATGGATTTTAAAAGAACAAATGCATCATTCCTTTGGCAACTCTTGTTCTTTCTCTTAGGGTCTACTGATCATTTTATGTTCAAACATAACTCCAGATATAAGTAGAGGTTTTGTAGGAGCATAGATAAATAACTGTCCTACTAGTACACTTAAAGAGTACTGTTTGGACCAGCCGTTCTCACTTGACCAATAGTAATTTGATTTTAATTTCGTATCTGCTGTATTTCTTTTAAAAAATCGTTGTTTCTGATTGTTCATGCATGTGGGAGGTGATTCTTCAAGACAGGCAAGTGTGTGTCCTCACATTAGAATTAGATTAGAATTGAGTTGAACGTCCTTAGTCTAACACTTCATTTCATCACTTATTATTGATGCAAAAATAATGATGTGTTCACATCAGTAATCTGAATTTTGAAAGCACTGAGGTTGCAATTCTTTGATGTGTTTAAATATCCACTGTGATCCAATGCTCTGAGAAATTGCATTAAAATGCCTCTGAATTTATAGTTGCAATAATGAATGAAAGTTTGAAAAGTTTCCAAAATGATGACACTTGCCGTATATTCATATGCCTACATTTTAATGCAAGGTGAAACTAAAGATAAACACTTTAAGGTTGCATGTTTGTCAAACGGCATCCTAGAGAAAGTGATAAACTGCAAAAAGAGATACTTTATCACTGAAATGCAAATATGCCAATTGATTTGAAGCTAGTGTTGCCATGGCTTCCTTTTCCAATTTGGAAAGGGGTACTCAAAATCTTTATAAACAGCATTTGAAATAGCATGAGTTGGTGTTGACGTGAAGAAAGCCCAAGGGCTGTTAGTTGAGTCACTGACATTTTGGCACATTGTTAGCTATCAGGCCACAAAACTGTCACCATTAGTTTTTAAGTAATCCACTTGCAAAGAATTTCAAAAGTTCAAAAATATTAGCTTCTATTCTAAGGTTCTAGTCATTCTGATAAGTGTTCTGGGTATTAACTTGTCAATGAAATGGTTTCAGAAGGCTTTCATATACAACTACTTTGCATTTACATCTAAATATGTGCAATTAAATGGTGTAAATAATGGAAACACCTAAGATTACTATCATTATAATGAATAAGAACTTTTTTACTCCCTTCCCTTAATATCTATTTTAGACAGAATAATATCACATAGTTCTTTGCTCAATAGTACTTGGGTTTTTTACTCAGTTTTCTCCTTCTTGAATTTTTATTTTAGTTTTTACATGAAAAAGCGAATGAAAAATTACTTAATGGGTACAATTTACACTATTCGGGTGATGGTTACACTATAAGCCCAGATTCCACAACTATGTACTATATCCATGTAACAAATTGTACTTGTACCCCCTAAATCAATTTTAAAAAATTAAAAAAAAGAAAAAGCAAATGGAGGAGAGCTGTGCAACAGTTTCTTTTGTTTATTTTACTTTTATGACCATGTATAAAAACAAGTTTATTTAATGAAAAATAAAATTTTCCTATATTCTTGACTTCTAGTTTTTAATTCTTATTTTCAGAGTTATGCCTTATTAGCAGTTTCACATGTAGAGCTAGCAGGGGCACATGTAAGCATTCCAATACCCCCCAAATGGTAGCATACTATTTGGCCCCCTATTTTTTAAATAAAATTTTATTTTTGAGATAACTGTATTTTATATTTAGTTACAAGAAATAATAGAAATTTGCACAATGGTAACATCTGGCAAAACTATAGTATAATATCATAATCAGGGTATTGACATTGACACAGTTAAGAAACAGAACAATGCCATCACATCAAGGGTTCTTACTGTTGTCCCTTTATAGCTACATTCATTTCTACCCAACCGCAATCCCAAGCTCCTGGCAACCACTAATCTATTATTTATATTTATAATTTTGTCAGTTCAACAATATGATATAAATGGAATCATATAGTATATAACCTTGTGGAATGGGATTTTTCATTCAACATAATTCCTTTGAAGTCCATCCAAGTTGTTGCACATATTCCTAGTTCATTCATTTTTATTGCTGAGTAGTATTCCATGCTACAGACATACCACAGTTTTTATTCATTTGTTAAAGGGCATCTGGGTTGATTCCAGTTTGGGGATAGTAAATATAAAGCTTCTATGAACATTCATGTATAATATTTTGTGGAATATAAGTTTCATTTTTCTGGAATAAATGCTTGAGTGAATATGGGTTGAATGGTAGTTATGTGTTTAGTTTTATAAGAAACTCCCAAAGTAGTTTCCAAAGTAGCTGTGCCATTTTACATTACCATCAGCAATATATAAGTGATCCAGTTTCTGCATATCCTTGCAGCACTTGGTGTTGTCACTATTTTTAACTGTAGCCATTCTGGTAGGCGTATTGTGATAATTCATTTTGATTTTAATTTGCATTTTCCTAATGGCTAATGAAGACTAACATATTTTTATGTGCTGATTTACCATCTCTATCCTTTTCAGTAACATATTCATGGTTTTTGTCCATTTTATAATTGAATTATTTATGTCCTTTTTGTTGAGTTTTGAGAATTATTTGTATGTTCTAAATACTAGTCCTCTTTCTGATATGTGGTTTGCAAATATTTTCTGCCAGACTATAGCTTGTCTTTCCATCTTCCCAATGAGTCTTTTGTAGAGCAAAAGTTTTTAATTTTGATGAGATTCAATTTGTGAATTTTTTCATTTATGGATCATGCTTTTGGCGTGAAGTATAAAAACTCCTTGCCAACTCTAGTTCCTGAGAATTTTCTCTTATTTTATTTTTAATTCTAAAATTTAAAAAATTGCCAAAAGTTTGATTATTTTACATTTAAAGCTGTGATTCCTTTAGAGCTAATATTTGTATAAAGTGTAAGGTTTATTTACATTGAGGTTTAGTTTTTGGGGGTTGGATGTATAGTTGCTCCTGCACCATTTGTTGAAAAGGTTATGCATCCTTCATTGAGTTGTTTTTGTGTCTTTATTCAAAATCCATTGGGCATGTTTGTATGGGTTAAAGTCGATATTCTCTATTCTTCAGCTTTGTGTATCCCTCTGCCAATACCAAATTGTATTGATTAGTGTAACTATATGGTAGCCATAAATATCAAGTAGAATGAGTCCTTCTTTATCCTTCTTTTTTAAGATTGTCTTAGCTATTGTAGGGCCTGTTATTTTCCATGTAAATCTTAGCATAAGCTTGTCTATGTCCACAAAAACTTACAGGAATTTTGGTAACAATTACATTAAGCCAAGAATTGATATCTTTACTATTATATATTGAGTCTCTCAATCTATGAGCACAGTATGTCTTTCCGTTTATTTAGGATTACCTTCTTTGATTTCTTTCATCAGCATTTTATAATTTTCAGCATATAAATCCTATGTACATTTTGTTAAATTTATACCTAAGTATTTCATTTTCTTTGGAGTGTTTGTAAATGATATTGTCATTTTAATTTCAGTTTCAACATGTACATTGCTACTATATAGAAATGTGATGGATTTTTATGTTTTAATTTTTAAAAACATAATTTTTGAAATGACATATTTATAAATGTTCTATCTAGTATCTACTTCCTTTGCCCAAGTCTTGATTTTTGTCTTTAGAAACCAAATGACTTTTTTTTCATTGAAAGCACAGATTTGGGATGTATCAAAAAATACTTAGTGAAATCCATTTATTTATTCATCCATTTAACAAACATCTACTTATCACTCTGTGATAAGTAATATGCTAATGCTAGGATTACAAAGTTTTAAAGAAAAGTTTTTACCCTAATGTAGTTTACATAAG